CCTAGAAAACCCCCACAACGGTCAGGGGCTGTTGGGGTTGGTTCTGCAACGTCCTGTAAAGGATACGCAACTAACCTAACTGCCCAAATTAGTTATACTATTCACTAGTGCCTGCCAGCAATGACAGGCAACCCACTCACACATTCGATTCTATGTTAAAAGGGGTTTTATCCAGTTATTCCATATCATTCGGTCTTTATCCGCAGAACGGCTCGCCGCCTGCCAAGAGCCTTGCATAAAAGCATAGCTCCCCCGACGATCGCTAGGGGTCTCGGCGAAAACTGCACTCTAACGAACAGACTACCTTTGGAACGTGAGGAAGATGGGTTGACCACTCCGCCACGGAGGACACGACTAACCCTCCCTCTACCCCCAACCACGGCTCTATATATGTTCCTTCAAGACACAAGGCTTGTAATAGTTTTACTGTGACTGACGCAAAAACAACAAGAAAGCAAGAAAGCAAGAAAGAAAGAAAATTGTTACTGAGAGAATGTGCTGCAATGAAAGAGTTTAGCGGATCAGAGCCTAAACCTGTCGGATTAACATCTCCTGGATGAGAATCATACCGGTACAATGCCTGGAAGCCCCGTTCAGCAGTGAGATAATTATACTGGGGCACCCGAGGGTTGTGAAGTAGCCTGTAATACAGCATCGTCGGGTTTGAGGCTTAGGAAGGAGGATTAATTTGACTTCTTTCTTCTTCTGCTAGTGGCGAAGTCGTCAAGCTGTTTGCTCCGAAAGTCGGGGGGTCCATGTGAATCATCGCTGGGGCTAAGGAGGTCATGCTTTGTGCAATACTCTCGGCAGGCGGCTAGAAGTTTTGTGGAGATAGATCGAGCTATGTTTGGATTACTCCTGCAATAGAATCGATCCTCTCAGTTTTAACTCTAACTTTACATAAATAGCTTTAATTATGTTATCTACGATATTTATGGAATAAAACAGGTCCAGGCCACGAATCGTTTGGAATTGTGGACTGTCTTATGTAAGCAAATCGACGTCTGTGGTTTAGACGTTGCGAACGCGATTCGTAATGCGGGGTACCGGGTTCGATCCCAGCTGCGGGCCTTGCGTCTTGTGTTAGTTTCGACAGTGGTATCGAGAAGCCGACCGTCCAGAAACAATGGTAAACTACAGGACGTAAACTTGCCTTTAAAAAAATCACAGCAGCCAGAAAATTCTGGGGTTGGTTCTGCAACGTCCTGTAAAGAATACCAATTTTTTTTTTTTTAATGCAAGTAAATGACTCGTACCTACGACCTTTCGATCCACATGCGAGCGCCTAAGCGCTACGCCACGGTGCCTCACGGTTATGCGTCAAGAACTAACATCATAGCACTTGGGACATTCCCATAAGCGTTTAGGGGTGCTTTCTTTTTAGCCGACAACAAATGACGTAACGGGACAGTCCAATATTTTAGAGGGTGGTAAAGGCGGATTTTGCATTATTTCCGTTCCTTTACCGCGTTTCTTCCAAAGCGAAGGTTATCGCGCGTTTCATCATCATCAGGTGCCTTGCCGACTGGCATGGGCGATCATGCCTCTCCATAATCTGCGATCTCCTGCAACATGTATCAGTTCGTGTGCCGACACACCTCCATGCCATGCAACAAGACTGTCAAGCATCTTCTCTCATTGTCTTCCTCTGTCCCTCCTTCCACAGATCTTTCCAGTGGTCACAACATGTCCTATTTTCCCTCTTCTCATAACGTGGCCGAAAAATGATTGTCTCTTTCTGATGTCTGTGATAAGTTGTCTTCGGTTTTCCGCCTCTTTAAAAACCTCTTGGTTGCTCTTTTTGGATGTCCAAGGTATTCTAAGCATTCTTCTGTAAAACCACATCTCTGAGGCTTCTAAAATTGTTTGGCCTGCCTACCGATTGTCCAGGATTCACATCCATATGTTAAAACTGGATGTATGTAGCAAGCAAGAATTCTTTTTCTAACTCTCAATGACAAGGATATATTGCACAAGATGTTTTTCATTTTATAAAATGCAGTTTTTGCCTGTCCAATTCTGTTTCTAATTTCAGTTATGCATCTTCCATCTGATGTTATCCATGTGCCCAGATACTTAAATTTCTGTCCTTGTCCTAAAATAACACCATTGACTTTTATTACACATTCAGGAATAATTTGTTTCTTTGATACCACCATTACTTCTGTCTTACCATTATTCAAACTGAGACCCATTCTTCCACTTTCCAACACTGTCACATATCCCTCCTGTCCCGTGCCTGATTTAAGGATTTCTCCTTAAGAACCAACAGCACTCAGAAATAATTATGTTGAGGCGTTTGACTCGTATTGGTCTAAGGGATGCCCCGTGGCCAATATACGCTCAACTTATTTCTGGAGTAGGGCAACTCAAGTCTTGGCACTACAAAATATATCTGTATATGAATATAATATTCCTAGGCACACTTGGCTGGACACCCCCACTACTATAAAAAGAAAGCCCCCAGGTTATGATAGTCTACTATCATAACCATGTTAAC